ACCTGTGTGCATAGCACGGCGGTAAAACCAGTATCGCGTAAGCGTACGCGTAATGTCGGTCCGGGCCGCTTCATCCAACAATACCGCTGAACCAAAGTATGACATGCTGGTAAGAAATATGACTTGTATCGCCCACAACTCACTTGTGTTCTACTCGTGCATATAACATCAACGCATAAAACCAGGCTCGGATGCCACTGTTGGGGAACGTAGTAATTTCAAAAAAAATTCCTACGTACACGCAAGATCATGGTGATGGCATAGCAACGAGAGGGGAGAGTGTTGTCCACGTACCCTCTTAGACCGTAAGCGGAAGCGTTATGACAACGCGGTTGATGTAGTCGTACATCTTCACGATCCGACCGATCCAAGTACCGAACGTACGGCACCTCCGAGTTCAGCACACGTTCAGCTCGATGACGATCCCCGGGCTCCGATCCAGCAAAGCTTCGGGGATGAGTTCCGTCAGCACGACAACGTGGTGACGATGATGATGCTCTACCGGCGCAGGGTTTCGCCTAAACTTCGCGACGATATGATCGAGGTGGAATATGGTGGAGGGGGGCACCGCACACGGCTAATGAATGATCCGTACATCAACTTGTGTGTCATGGGGTGCCCCCCTGCCCCCGTATATAAAGGAGCAAGGGGGAGGGGGCGGCCGGCCAAGGGAGGGCGCGCCAGGGAGGAGTCCTACTCCCACCAGGAGTAGGACTCCCTCCTTTCCTAGTTCAACTAGGAGAGGGGAAGGAAGGGAAGGAGAAGGAGAAGGAAGGAGAGGGAGGAAAAAGAGGAAAGGGGGCCGGCCCCCTAGTCCAATTCGGTTTGGGCCAGGGGGGCGCGCACCCTGCCTCCTCTCTTCCACCACTTGTCCCATGAGGCCCATTGCTTCTTCCTCGTATTCCCGTAACTCCCCGGTACCCCCGAAAATACCCGAATCACTCGGAACCTTTCCGAACTCCGAATATAGTAGTCCAATATATCGATATTTACGTCTCGACCATTTCGAGACTCCTTGTCATGTCCTCGATCTCATCTAGGACTCCGAACTCCTTCGGTACATCAAAACTCATAAACTCATAATATAACTGTCATCGAAACCTTAAGCGTGCGGACCCTACGGGTTCGAGAACTATGTAGACATGACCTAGAACTATTCTTGGTCAATAACCAATAGCGGAACCTAGATGCTCATATTGGCTCCTACATATTCTACGAAGATCTTTATCGGTCAAACCGCATAACAACATACGTTGTTCCCTTTGTCATCGGTATGTTACTTGCCCGAGATTCGATCGTCGGTATCCAATACCTAGTTCAATCTCGTTACCGGCAAGTCTCTTTACTCGTTATGTAATGCATCATTCCGTAACTAACTCATTAGCTACATTGCTTGCAAGGCTTATAGTGATGTGCATTACCGAGAGGGCCCAGAGATACCTCTCCGACAATCTGAGTGACAAAACCTAATCTCGAAATACGCCAACCCAACATGTACCTTTGGAGACACCTGTAGTACTCCTTTATAATCACCCAGTTACGTTGTGACGTTTGGTAGCACCCAAAGTGTTCCTCCGGTAAACGGAAGTTGCATAATCTCATAGTTACAGGAACATGTATAAGTCATGAAGAAAGCAATAGCAACATACTAAACGATCAAGTGCTAAGCTAATGGAATGGGTCAAGTCGATCACATCATTCTTCTAATGACGTGATCCTATTAATCAAATGACAACACATGTATATGGTTAGGAAACATAACCATCTTTGATTAATGAGCTAGTCAAGTAGAGGCATACTAGTGACACTATGTTTGTCTATGTATTCACACATGTATTATGTTTCCGGTTAATACAATTCTAGCATGAATAATAAACATTTATCATGAAATAAGGAAATAAATAATAACTTTATTATTGCCTCTAGGGCATATTTCCTTCAAGTTGTGCCTCAGGGGATCGAGACTAAAGGTCGCATGTCAATTGTTAGCTTACGACCAAGATATCCTGCATTGCACATTAATGCATTCATGATTTCTAGAAGCGATGAATGCTTAATAGTGAAAGATTGGAGGAAAATTGTTAACGATCGCAGAGAAGCACTAGGGGGCAGCAATGAGAAGCGCAGTCCACGATTAGGAGACAGGTTCATCTGCATGCTCCAGTTTGATGAATCAGGAGAGCTATACATGTTCTATGCTATTTTACCAGAGAGAGAGTAGCTAGCAGGAGTGATTTAGCATGATGCTCTTAGTACTTGTCCTTTCATGTCCGTGTTCTTCGTTCTGAACTTAATCTCAAAGAGTGATTTGCTTTTGTGGTGTTATATATGAACGCTTATAATATCATGACAATCTTGTTGAACTCGATGATATTTTTGCTTCTGGTACAAGTGAATGTTTCTTCTTTAAGCTACTGTTGATGGTGATTTGATAGCGGTAATGACTATGATGATTAAATAGTGATAATGACGACTACGATGCTTTTTAGCTAGCTAGCTCTAGAGTATGTTGATGATATGATGCAAGAGTTTTTATATTAATAATATGATGATATGATGAGTAATTATTATATCATTTAATGAAAGAAACCACATATTAGTTTCAGCTGGATGGATCCTACCTAAGTGATCAACTGTATATATGCCATATCCATATATATTATACTTGATCACCTAATTAGGTGATCAAGTATATAATATCGATATGCCATATATATATATATATATATATATATATATATATACTTGATCACTTAGCTATAGCTAGCTATATATAGCTAGCTAGATCCTCCAGTCGAAACTAATCCGCGATACTTTCATCTAATGATTTAACAACTCATTATAATGTAAAACAATCACTAAATTTAATTGAAAACACAAAACTAAAGCAAAAATTAAAAAAACACTCAAACATTTAGTATCGGTTGGTGTTACCAACCGGTACTAAAGCCCTACGCGCACCCGGACCTGGCTCGTGCCACATGTTCGCACTTTAGCGCCGGTTCATGACGAACCGGTACTAAAGAGGGGGGGCTTTAGTCCCCATTCTTTAGTGCCGATTGGAGAACCGGTACTAAAGGCCGTTACGAACCGGCACTAAAGGCCGGTTCTACACTAGTGAAGATATGCAGCGCCTGCAAGATGGGGTTGTAGGCAGCGATCTGCTTGGTGTTCTGTTTGTGGAGGACGATGTAGCCGCAGCGACAGCCAATGATCTCCCATCAGGAGTGATCGCTGTCTTCTGGGAGGCCGGCGAGGTGAAAATCGGAGCCGCGGATGGCGGCGGCGAGGTCCGGGTCGGAGCGGCTGAGGAGGGGAACGAAGTCAGGGGTGGCGTGGCTGTAAGAGTCCTCGAAGAATCCGAGGAGCTGGGGCGGGTGGAGCGCCCGGAAGCAACGTCGGGAGGCGGGGGACGAACGGACGGCGTGGAGGAAGGTGTGGCAGGCGAGGGCGGCGCAGACGAGGCTTGGGATGGAGGGGAGGCGGAGGAAGATCTCGACTCTTGAGGAGGAGGTGGTCGCCGATGGCAGTGATGGTGGTGGCGTGGCCGCTGGATAATACTTCGCCGTCGCCAGTGACAGCGACGGTGGCCCTGGTTGGGAGGCATGGCTGTCAAGTTCGAGCTCCAGTGGCGGCGGCGCCGCATTTCGCTTGGGTTTTCGACGCGTGCGCGAGCACTGTCAGCGACGCGGCTGGAAATGGGCCTTTGGCCGGTTTTGTGAAGAGAGAGCGGCCGCCATGTTTGGTTAGGCCAGCCAGATGGAATTGCATTCGTCACTGTAAACATTGTGACGACATAATAAAGCTTTGCGAGGTTGCCTCAAAAAATACTAATGTAGTAATTGCCTAGAAAAATATAGAAATAGTATAGTATAGCAGTGCTTAGGAGTAATATTTGCAAATAGTATAGGAAATGTTTTGTTAATTAAAATGGCAAAACTCTTCAAACAAAAATACTAGAAAATTCACATAAACCTTATGTAATATTTAGTGCTTATGAGTAATATTTGCATCCCAAATATAAAATAGAATACAAATAATATTTTTATACACTCCATTTTGAACTTTGACTAGCAAGATGCCCTTGCGTTGGAACTTCAAGATGCATTTACATGATTAGTTTATCTTGTGGGAGATAAGGATGAACGAGGGAAGACCTTATCCGCAAATATGGAGAGGGACGCAAGTACCTTTTTGCAAAATTGCCATAATTTCCTTCCTATCCGTTAGATATAGATCAGACGACCTATATCGCAGGATGACAGGTACACCATCATCACCAACTCTGTTTTTTATAAGAGTACATAAACCATTACCAAAAGTTAATTGATGATATTAAAAAGTACCCCAAAAAATGGTTTTACTTAAAATAAATAACCAAATCATATTTAAAGAATTTCCAACATTTTTATTGAAGGGGTCCTATTACATTATCTCCTTTGATGTTTATTTAGTTGGATTTGTTTCAAATATCAAAATCCAAAAAAGTTCCAAAATAAATATGTGGGAAAGTAATTTTATTACCCCTCATCAGAATGCTCAGTAAGTTCCAAAAGTTTAAAATCCTAGCCAAAACTTAGTCGTCTCCAGGTGGTCTACGGACCCGAACGAAATTTTGTTACTTCTAGTTTTTTTTGTTTGTACTGCCATGCAAAGATTCGAAGTTTTCCCCTAAAAAATTATTTCTAATATAATATTCGTGTTCTTTTTTTGCAAAGCGTGGTGGTAATCATCTTTTTTTAAGGGCGGTGGTAATTAATGAAGACCGTGAGGCCACCGGCCATCCAGTTTGTAGCCGCAGGACGGCCAGCCCAGCACGCATCGCGCTACCACCACCTTCCCTCTCGGCCTTTCGCTAGACCTCCTGGCCTGGCCCGGTCCACGGCCACGAGGGAAAGAAAACAAAAGGGGCGCTTCTCGAGGGTCCTCTCCGCAACAATCCTCCCGTCGTCTCGTCTCCACCAAAGCAAAGCAAAGCAGAGGAATCCCCCGGCTGAAGGATGACGACGGCGGCGCGGCCGACGTGGGCGCCGGCCAAGGGCGGGAACGAGCAGGGTGGCACGCGCATCTTCGGGCCCTCCGGGAAGTACTCCTCCCGCGACCTCGCCGCCCACACCTCCCTCAAGCCCAGGTAGGTGATTTCAAATTCAATCGTCTGCCCCTACCCGCGCTCCGATTCCGATCCCAGTTCCATGCCCTCCCTCGTGCTTCGAATCGAATCCTCCGTCTGGCCTGGTTAGAGATCTCGCGCCCACGCCGTCCCTGGATTTTTTTTTTCTCGAAACGGGACGCCGTCGTTGGGATTGGGGGCGGGGAAAGGGCTCTAGGGTTCGTCGGCCTTGGAGACGTGGGCTCCAGATCTGGGTGTCTGGCCTTGTCATCTCAATTTAGGGCCTGAATGGAGGCACCACCTGCTGTTTGCTTTGGTGCTATATAAGGGTTGCCTGGATTAGGTCAATTCCAACCCAATAAATAAGCCCATCTAGTAGTACCTGTTTGCAGTAGTTGTCAACCAACATATGTAGTAATTTACGTGCAGTAACCTGGGATAGTTGTTCATCGTACATAGAACAAACGCCTATTTTGTCTGCTGCTGCTGCTGCTGTTGCTCCATCAAGAGAGTGAATCCGTAATCAAATGGCTTATCAGGCTTCATATGTTCCTCATTGTGGGGTTTACTAGTTAACCATAGGGTGTGTCTAATGCACATCTAGATGTGCTCTAGTTATTGCACATCTAAGTGAGTGAATCAAGCATAAAGAGAAAAAGGAAAAAGAAAAAGGAAATATCCACACGAATCTCAACGTAAGATCAATGACATAGGACTTAGATGTGCAATACTCATGGCACATCTAGATGTGCTTTAGCAAAACTGTTAACGATAATCAGTACATATGGCTAAACTATTGCATGAGGCTTCACACGATTAATTTATTTCTTGCCCCTCCCTGTCAACCCTGAATGGAATTAGCTGATAGTTTATATAGTTTTTCTGAGTATCTTCCTCTCAATGCTTCCCCCTCTTATCTGCAGAAAAGAGGGTCAGCAAACTCAGGAGGAGGTACAGAAGAGGAATCTCAGGGATGAACTTGAGGAGCGTGAACGCAAGCACTTCTCATCCAAGGATAAGTCCTATGTTGGTAATACCCTCCGGGTCCATCTGTACCTTCTTCGTCTTCTGTGCAAATAGTGCTTTGCCATATCCTTTCTTCCGTGATGTTCTGTCTTTCGTTGTTACCTATTACATGTGAATTGTGATCGATTAGGTCAACCTCTTTTTTCTTGCAGATGAGAGGGACCAGCGGAAAAGTTCGAGCCTGCTCTTAGAAGGTTGGTGACAACCTTAAAAATTTAGCAAGGTCTGTTTGGTGTTCTTTTCAAGGCAGCATAATGATTTACTTTGTTCTTCTGGTAACCACATTCACAGGTTCAAAACGGGATGAGGATAAGATAGTTCCACGTGAAATTGATGCGGACGACTCTGACGTGGAGCTCAAAAGTGATGATGAAAGGTCTGTTTAGTTAGTTCTTGCTCAGTAGTTTATCAATAAACCTGTTCAAAATGCTGACCAGACTCTACTTGCTGTTGCACTTGCATGGATGGGATTAACTGATACATCTTCTAACTGCATGAACAAATTGTATTGTGGACTAGGGCCGGCTGAAACTGTTCAACATGTGTTATCTACCATAAACTTTGTTATTGGGTGTGATATGTTTATGTTTACAACAATACATATGGTAAAATAGCAAAAAAGAATAATGCAGCAATTGTCCTGATATTTTTTTGGGACAGAGCTTTTTATCTGGGCCCAGATTTGTAGTTCATCTGACTATCTCAACTTATTCTATGTCTTGCTCATCAAATTGAAACTTTATTCAGCGATGATGATGACGACGACGATGACACTGAGGCACTCATGGCAGAGCTCGAAAGGATTAAAAAAGAAAGAGCTGAGGACAGGCTTAGAAAGGTTTGCTGTTTTCTTATCTGTATTATTATTTTGTGGTGCTTTTCTTCTTTAGGTTTAGAGAATTAATGTGAAGTCCCGTCTGTTTGCTGCAGGAGCGTCAGCAAGCAGAAGAAGAGGCCAAGATGAAGGAGGCCGAGCTGATGCGAGGAAACCCACTGATCAATATGAATAACTCTGGCTCCTTCAATGTGAAGAGAAGGTTAAGACAGTGATGCCTTGGTGCCCTTTTTTTTAACAAAAGAATGCTGCCATGCTTTACCCAGAGCTTAATCCTGTTCATATATGTGTTTGTTGCAGGTGGGATGATGATGTGGTATTCAAGAACCAAGCTCGTGGAGAGACTAAGACACCAAAACGGTTCATCAACGACACCATCAGAAGTGATTTCCACCGCAAGTTTCTGCATAGGTACATGAAATGATGCTGTTGTATGCTATATGTTGTCTGGACAGTATGCATGCTGGAAGAGGAACCTGTGATGTTTCTGAATTCTGAAGATCAATTTGTATGACATAACTGTAACATCTCTGTTACCTGTACGGTGATATGTTTACCTTGTTCCTAAGTAAAGAAAGAACCCACTGCTTGTGTTCTATTGATGCTTTGCCGTGACCTTAGGATCTTTCTGTTAGTATTTACTACTCCCTCCGTCCCATATTAATTGTTGCTCAAACGGATGTATCCATTTCAGCGACAATTAATATGGGACGGAGGGAGTATTTGAATTCTTTCAGACCCTCTTCTGGAAAATATGTATGTTTGTGGCATACTAGCAGTTTGTGTGACTGCCCAGCAGTGCCCTGGAAAATGTTAATATTTTTAGTAGAATTCATTGAGCACTTGAAACACCAATTTTCTTGTCGGCCTTCTCTTGCGAAAATGATTTTAACCGAACTAACAACCGAAGTTCCTTCTCTATTTGATTGCCAGTGAGAGTTTAGCCGAGCAAATTGGCAGGTTACCCCTGCCTCTTTTTCTTATGGCATTGGAGTCGTTGTACTGCTCGGAGATTGATATCCTGGCTCTCCATTGTTTGCTGGCCACTTTTTCCATGGCTGGTTGGGAGGGCTAAGGATAACATTTATTTTCTCTTGTTTAATTGCCCAGTGAGTTCTGCTTGCACGGTTGCATCTGCTGTATTAATGTTGCTTGTTATCGAATTCAATGAAGTAGCTTATTTTCCTTATAATTTTTCTCTGTTCTACTTTGATTTTTTCTTTTGTTAGACGCAAATTGAACCTCTATCTCCATGCTGCCCCCTAAGGGGAAAAAGGTCTGCAATCGAAGTTATGTTCTTGATTTGTTTCCTGCTGTCTGGTTATTGCCTGATTTGTGATTAGTGTTTTAGTAGTTAAGAGTTTTAGCCGAGCAAAATGGCAGGTTACCTTATGCCTCGGTTTCTCATGGCATCTGGGTCGTTGTGCTGCTCGGACACTCATCACTCCTGGTTCTTCGCGCTGTTGCTGGCTACTTAATTACCTTGGGGCTGGTGAGCGAGGTTGGGTGGACAGATTCTCTTTGCTTGCATTAGTAAGTTGTCCTTGCTCTGCAGTTTTCCTATTGTCCTGTGATTGAGATCTGTTTTTGTCGGCCATGGCTGAAGTTATCTGCTGTTTTTTTCAATTTTGTCGGTTGATATGCTCAGGTTATTGCTATCTACTGTGTACTACTTAGAGGTCCTCCTCCTAATCATGTTTTTCTTTTCATTTTTTTGGTTTGTTGGACACTTAGGTGGTTGGTTAATTTCTGATTAGACTAGACTGAACTTGTGGGATTCATGTGAGCAAAATGGCAGGTTGCTCTTTGCCTTTGTTTCCCACGGCATTGGAGTCGTTGTGCTGCTCGGAAATCCACCACTCCTAGCTCTCCACTGTCCATGCCCACTCCACTATGGGTTTGGTCGAGAGGCCTAATATTAATTTCCTCTTTTCATTGTGTTGAGTTGATTCTGCGTGTATTAATTCGTGTTGGGCCAAGATCAAGATCGAGGTGCTGTGAATTCTGTTGTTCTTGTTGATTGATATGGTTGCTTGCTATCAAATGCAGTAGATCCTGTTCTTTCCTTGCCTGCCTACCATCTTCAGCTGCCTGCCTGCAAATCAAACTGAAAGAATACTTGCTGCTGCTGCATTCATATGGTGCAATCAACCCTGTCCCTGAAGAGACTGGGCCGTATTGTCCATAGAACAAATTAGGATGAAACGAATGCACATGATGGTGATACTCTCACCCCGTCCCAAAGGCAGAAACAGCAGTTCAGACTGCTCCTGTGGTTGATATATACAATTAATTTTTGTTAACCGCATCACAAAGAAACTAAGTAAAATCACTATAGAGATGAGAGGAGATAACGGCCTGTGCATGCAAGTGCAGTTAGTGTTTGCTCCCTGTTGAACATCTAGTAGCAGCTGCTAGCCATTTGAACGGACAGGGCCGCCTTTCTTTGGCAGAGTATGCTGGAGCAATGAAGGGCGATGGGATATTGGTTTCGTCCCTATGAACCATCCATGCGTGTGATGAAGAAGACCGAAATTTTAGTCCGTCTTTGTTTTGTTTTCTCAATGATGATGAGTTTATGGTTCTACGTACTAATTATGATGGTTGATGGTGGTGTTCTATTGCTCTGTGTTTGTGATGCCCGTCTTGCCAACTTGTAAAAGTTATGCTTGGATGCTATCATGTAATAAGAGAGGGCATGCATGGCAGATCGATAAGGATTATGCTTGCTGGATGTTTGGTACTGTATTAATTAATGATAATGGAACAGGGAGGTTCGGTGAGTGATCATTTTTTTTGGAGAAAAGTTCTGTCGGGTATAGTAAAAACTGTCACATATGCTCTTCAGATGCTAATAACCTTCAGAGATAACCACGATGGGAGGTTTCCGTTACAATACCAAGCAAGTTAAAATACTCCCTCCATTCCTAAATATTTATCTTTCTAGAGATTTCAACAAATGACTAAATACGAAACAAAATGAGTGATCTACGCTCTAAAATGTGTCTATGTATATCCATATGTGGTAGTCCATTTGAAATCTCTAAAAAGACAAATATTTAGGAACAAAGGGAGTAATAACCAATATGTTGACGAAAGCACGGCATGAAATGCTAGTAGTTCTTCTGCTTACATAAAATCTATGCCAAAATAAACGTTACACACCAAAGTCACAGCTGGTTCAGTTCATCTGATGCTCACAGGATCAAGGTGTGCATCCAAAAAGAAACATAAGGTGAGAAAAGGAAACATTAGGCGATCGAGTTAATACATTATGCTTCACAGACTGATTACGGAAAAAGAAACATTAGGTGATGAGAAAAAGTAAACTCAAGCAAGCACAGAGAACAAGAAAACCAGCACCATGTTTCATGCATGGCCATGTCATCAGTAAAAGGTACACATAATATTTCATAACAAACTAACATGCGTCCGGATGCCATCTTACAGCAGACAAGCGTTTCCAAAACAAACTAACAGGGCGCCCAATGCCCCCAATCTAGCATGTATGTTTCCGAGTCTCTATTACTACAAAAAACAAGCACCCGATGTTAGTTCATGCCCCCAGTCTTCCTTATCATCCAGAACCCCTACTAGTGATGAAAAGTAATATCCAAGAGTCAGGAATGGCGGTCTGCAATTTAACAGCAACTTCATTTGCATTGCTTAAACTTGTCGTCGCCCTCGTAATCCGAACCCTCATCGTCGTCGTCTGACTCCTCCTCCACCTGCTTAGGCACTGCTTCGCTATTGGGTTCCTCGCCGCCACCGCTTGGTTTGGCCCGCTTTTCATTCTTTCGCTGCTTCTTCTTTTGGCGCTTCAGGCGCTTCTTGGATGTACGCTCCTCAGCTGCTTTTAGCCTTTCCTCCCTCCGCAGATTGAACTCGGCCACCTGCTTCCTCTTTTCGTAATCAGTCTCCATCCTCGTTATTCGGTCCTGTTCCCTTCTCCTCATTTGCCGATACTGTCAAAACAAGAGTGCTTACAGTTAGTTAAACCATCAGATTATTACCTACCAGTGTGTTTCCATTCAAGTTCTCAAAATTATTCATGTCATGAAACTTGAGAAAACTGGAGCTAGCTAGATTTGCACATACAAAAACACTAGTAAATTAGTTGAGAACACATCAAGAAAAAGTTTGCTCTAGCTCTGTGAATGCTGGAACAGGAGGAACCAATTACAAATATCATGATTTTCAGCTGCTATCATGTTACCCAAGAATTCTGGTGAAGAAACATGACGGACAAAATATGTCTTGAATATATTATTATCACACAATTCTCAAAGAAAGCAGAATTTGAATGAACTTGTGTACAGTCTCAGCAACATAATCTCCACTATGATAACCTTTGTCCACCCAGTTACTGACAGTGATTGTATGCATCAATCTGAACCCACACACAAGTCAATAGCAGTTTTAAAGTTAAGCTAGGATCGTGCCCACAAGCCAACAGCAGTACTTCATTTTAATAACTCAAATGAAGAGTTGTGAGTAGCAAAACACTAAATCTTCTCCTGATAGGCTGATAGCAATTCGATCTAGCCTCCATTCTATTGCAGCACTCATAAGCCACTGGAACTTCTGATTATCATGTGATAATGCCTATGATCGCAGAAGCCACAAATACAAAGATCTTGTATCTGTTCCCTTCTCTTATATCACATCATAACTTAATAGACGTTCACCTTTTATCAAACTGTGGTCATTCATCAGCCTTATAACCTTCCATTGATTAAGTGATGCAGCAAAACATATTCTTTTTATTTTTCATATTCAGCGATGTTACCTTAAAATCCACACCAACATGCCTTCTAGAGATTCAAAAATCGAGCAAATTTTAAACATCTTGTTGTTCTGGTATAGGCAACTGCACAACAGTATACACAAAATTTACTCAAGTGCTTTCAATATTGTCAATACTCTTAAGAACATCAACAGGTAAAGGGTCTTGTGTACATGCATTTTTTAAGCAAGCACCATGTTTTTTTTCTCTCTTATATAGACACCAAAGAACTATTTAGAATCATAGACCCAAAATTTCCTTTAAGAGAAACTTCGATAAAATGACAACTTCACCAAAACATTGCAACCGTCTACTCAAGTGCTAATTGACAAATAAACCCATAATAGCCATAATGTAGAGTTATATGTGAGTCCCATCCGCGTAATAAAAAGGGCAGACCCAGTGCATAGAAGCTCCCACACAAGGTGGGGTCTGGGGAGGGATTATAGGAACCTAGTCTTACCCCTGCAAAGTGCAACGCAGAGAGGCTGGTTCGAACTATCCGCATAATAAGGAGAAGAAGAAAATTGGTACAATCTGACACACATTTTAGCTGAATTCTCCACTTGTGAGAGGGTGGGAGAGAGAAGAGTACCTGGTGGAAGTCGCCAGAGCCAGAACCAGCGGAGGACCCAGAGGTGTTGCTGGCACGGACAGGGACATTGTCCATGATGCGCTTCAGCTTCACCTCTATGTCCTCCACATCCTCCCGTAGCTTGACCCCTCCCGAGCTCTTTCCTCCACCCTCCACCAGCGCCAGCTGCTTTCCACTGTCAGCAACAGAAGCCTTTGCCACTAGTTCACCACCAGAAACCCTTGCCGGTGGTGCCATTGGGACTAGCTGCTGCATATTGCCATCCTTACCAGGATCTGACATTGTTGATACTAGCTCCACCTGTGGATCTGCCTACACAGAACAGAGTGCTAAAGCATGAGCTCAGGATAGGAATTTCCGCTTCTAAGTTTATTATGGGGACATGTTCACAATACATTTTTCTTTTATGCATTTGAAATTACTAGTAAGTTGTATTGGGGGGCTTGAGAAAACAAGAGATGCCATAATGGACCTGGAAATAGCACGAATAGCTGAACATGACAAATCTAAGTATCAAATGCATGGACCCTATGTAAGATTTGACCCTATCTAGTGAAAAATAAAATACACATAAAGGCATGGACCATGTCCAGCGCAGATGAAGCAGATACCCTGTCCAAATGAATCAACCATATCTAAGATGTGACCCTATCTATCTGCCCCCAAAGCCTTGTTACCTATGGGCTAGAAGTAAACTACATGTGGCAATGAGATTCAGGATTCCTGTTTTGTACTACAGTACTAATTTATAACAGCAATTGCACCCAACAAGCACAAGATTTGCAGCGTGGTGCACAATTAGAGAGGGGAGGCATCACATTAATAAGGCAGGACATCCCTAATTCAACTTGATTCAAGTTCACATGCTATGCTAGCTAAATGAAAAGTGCAAGGCCCGAGGGATTCCTAAACTACTTATTCAGAAAACGAGCTTCTATCAGAGTCAGGCCGCCAGCACCTGGATGGCCTGCAGCAGCTCGGAGAGGAAAGAATCGTGGAGTGTTAGGGCTTTCGTACCACCGAGAAGAGAAATCAGGCTGAGTGGATCCTCTGCCCAGTCCAGTCCAGCTTAGCAGAGAGAGAGGCGCGGCCCCTGGGAGGAGGAGGAGGCTCCAGCTGGTCACCGCCGGGGACGGGGCGGGACGGGATGGGATGGGATGGGACCGAGGAGCTCCAGATGTGGACGCGGCGGAGGCCCGCGGGTGGGGGCGTGGAGGAGGACGACGGGCCGGCGGCTGGGTGGAGAAGGAGGACCCAACGAACAGGCTGGGCGTGCGTGCTTCTTGGTCAGGCAGGAGAGGGGCGGAGCCACGGTCATCATCAAAGGTTGCAAAATGGGCCCTGTCCTGGCGGGCTGGCCCGATAGCCCACATGCCCGGCCCGTGGTTGGCCCATGCAGGTTTCTTCACGCCGATTTTGGGTACTTTCCAGAAGGCTGGGGCGTTTTTCTCCGGATTTTTTTCTAGGTCGGATCTTGTTTGTTTTCTGTTTCTCAGTTTTTTTTTCAAATACATGGACTTTTCTCAGATTTGCGAATATTTTTAAAATTCTTGAACTTCTTTTATCAATCAATGAACTTTTTCGCAATTCATGAACACTTTCTAAATTCGTGTTTTGCGAAAATCGTGAATATTTCTTCAAATCAGTGAACTTTTCCCAAATCCGCAACATTTTTTGAGTTCATGATTCTTTTTTGAATTCGTGAAACATCTTCAAATCCATGAACCTTTTCCGAATTCATGAACTCTTTAAAAATGCATGATTTTTTTTAATTTCATGAATTTTGTAGGAAAGACGGCGGGTCAATGGTCAAGTAGCCAAATGGTCAACTAGTCAACCTGTCCAACCGAGCGAGCCAGGAATTCGCATGTGTTGGGTCAGCCCACGCGATGAGGCGCATGAGGCCAACTGAGAAACTTGCCCCTTAAGGCGCCGAACATGACCTCTCATCTATCGCTAAGGGACGCACAGATTTTTTTCCTCTAGCTAGGGTTCGTCTTCCTCTCGCCGCCACCGGCGACGTAGAGAAAATCCTGTCCTTCGCAACCGCCATATCTGATCCTTTCCGCTCGGGCTGATCAAGAGGCAGTCTAGTACTGCTACCCGGCCTTGGTGGGGGGCTTTAGGTGCTCGGTTCGCGTTAGGGTTTCGTTTGTTCTGGCAGTGGGGAGACCGCGAGATCGGATCCAAGTTCTGTGACTATGGCAAAGCAAGGCGCTCCGGGTGCGTCCGGGAGCAAAGGAAAGGGGAAGCTTGAGGATCTCATGGAGGAGCTAGCCCTAAACGAGTATGATATAGATGACGTTGTTTTCGAGGATGAAGACGCGCCACCGGAGGAGGATCTACGGTGGATGATTCTGGCTCGAGTTCACATCAACAAAAGCTTCAGCACCTACTGGTTCTTCCGCAACATGAGGTCAGCCTGGGATCTCGCTAGGCGAGTGAAGATCAAAACCCTGGAAGATAATCTGTTCATCATGCAGTTCGAGTGCCTGGGGACTGGGAAAGAGTGACTCTCGGAGGTCCATGGCACTTCCGGGGTAACCCTGTGATCATTGAGCCTTATGATGGTTACTCAAAACCCACATCGATCGAGCTTTTTAAGTTTGAAATTTGGGCAAGGATTCTTGATTGGTGAGTTCGTGGAGTTAGAACCGGCATCGTTTGACTTTGAAGGGAACTTCTATAGAGTTAGAATCCGGCTGGATGTTCGTAAGCAGCTGAAGAAAGCAACATCGATCATTTGAGGTGGCCAGAGGGAGATTTTTGCGGTAAAATATGAGCGGCTTCCGGATTGGTGTCAGGTTTGTGGTATGATGGGCCACGAATTCAAGGAACATGGAGATGGTGTGCACCCTCCCTCGGCCCTGGTTTTCAAGAACTTGAGGGCTCCTGCCACTACGACGTGGGGCTCAAAACGCCGCAATAAGGGGCAGAAAACTTGGGGCAATGAGGGAGGAGGAAGCGGATCCGGTCTGAAACCACAAGATGATGCAAAGGAAGCTAAAGATACTGATATGGGGGAGAGCGATGCTAGTCACAAAAGGGCTTCTGATGAGGTTGTGGGTGTTCCTATTTTTGCAGCGGCCACCACAGGCCTAGAGCTTGTTCCTATCGAGAAGAACAATGGTGCTGGTACGGGTGTCCTTCCTAGCCCACCACCAAATCAGGACCCAAAACGCTCTAAGATTATGCAGCAGTCAGAGAAGGCAATGATCGCAAGCGGGAGGAAGAACATGGCGGGTCTGAAAAATCCTGATGCAAAAATGGCGGCCTCCCCGGCGGAGGACCGCCGAGCACAATGAGTTGCCTTAGCTGGAACTGCCGAGGACTAGGCAACGCCCCGACAGTTCAAGAGCTACGAGAAATCGTGTTAAAGTTTTCCCATAGAGTACTTTGCATTGTTGAAACATAAATAAGTCAAGATAGAGCTGAGGGTTTAGCAAGTACTCTAGGTTTTGCTTCTTCTTTTGCTGTTGGTTCCACCGGCCGTAGTGGTGGTTTAGTATTGTATTGGAATGATGAAATAAAGATCGAGATTTTGGGCTACTCGCAGTATCATATAGACGCAAAGATTTCAGAGTTTGGGGGTGATCCTTGGAGGCTTTCATGCTTCTACGGAGAGGCACAAACACACCTCCGGCAGAGAACTTGGGACACGATGAAAAATTTATCAGCCCTCCAAAACATGCCATGGGTATGTATGGGGGACTTCAACGAAGTTCTACGCTATGATGAGCATGAGGGGATCGGCCAGAGGAGTTCAACTCAGATTCAAGGATTCTGTGATGCAGTTGACGTGTGTGGATTAATTGATCTTGGTTTCCAGGGTCGTAAATGGACGTTCGACAAGAAAGTTATATGGGGCTCTTACACAAGAGTCAAACTAGAAAGGGCTCTGTGCACTCCCGAATGGGGTGCCCGTTTTCCATTAGCGACTGTGGAGCATCTAACAGCCGCTACATCTGATCATTCGCCCATCAGGTTGATGCTTGATCCACCGGAAAGAGGAAAGCAAGTTCATAGGCAGTTCCGGTATGAATGCATGTGGGACACGCATCCCGAGCTAATGCCCACGGTCCAACATGCATGGGAGGCGAATGGCCCTAACATGACGACTGCGGAAGTTCGAGCTAACTTGCATTCTTTGTCCAACAATTTGGGCGAGTGAAGCAAGTCAACGTTTGGGCAGTGTTAAGGCAGAGATAAAAAGGTTGAAGAGGGATTTGGAACGACTAAGAAATGATCTGTTGAGGACTGCACCGTCCATATAGAGATTAAAACGAATGATCGCTTGATCGAGCTATATCTTCGGGAAGAGATAATGTGGCGCCAAAGATCAAGGGTGGCATGGCTGTGAGAGGGAGATAGGAACACACACTTTTTCCATCTTCGAGCTTCCAATAGAAGGCACAAAAATTTGAGCAGGACGGGCAGTTAACGGATGACTTATCCGAAATGCAACAGTTAGCTCTTGATTTCTATAAGACATTATACACTTCCGAGGGGGTGGAGGGACTAGATGATGTTATCCAACATGTACCCTCAAAGGTCACTGCAGCTATGAATGATACTCTTTTGGCGCTCTATAAGGAAGAAGAAGTGAAGAAAGCCCTTTTTCAGATGTTCCCAACGAAGGCTCATGGGCCTGACGGGTTCCCCGCTCACTTCTTCTAACGGCATTGGGACATCTGTGGAGCTGCGGTCACTCGTGTGGTATTGAGTATAGTTCAAGGAGAAGAAATCCCGGAGTGTGTCAATGATACGGTCCTGGTTCTAATTCCTAAGGTATCAAAACCTACTCTTCTGTCTCAATTTCGACCGATTAGCTTATGCAATGTCTTCTACAAAATTGCTTCAAAGGTTTTGGCTAACCGGTTGAAGGTTATATTGCCTAAGATTATTTCTGAAGAATAGTCAGCCTTCATGCCTGGCAGGCTTATTACTGATAACATAATTTTAGCATACGAGTGTTTGCACTTTATGAAGAGGAATAAGTCCAAGAACAATAATTATAGTGCTCTCAAGCTCGACATGATGAAAGCATATGATAGAGTGAAGTGGAATTATGTAGAAGCTATCATGAGGAAACTGGGTTTTGCAGCACCGTGGATCAATACGGTAATGAACATGGTCAGAACGGTATCCTTCTCAGTTTTGTTCAATGGAAGTAAATTGGAGGAGTTCAAACCATCTAGAGGTATTCGCCAGGGAGACCCAATCTCTCCATACCTTTTCTTGTTGGCAGCAGAGAGCCTTTCGTGCCTGTTAAAATCTCAAAGTCGATCACCCCAGCTCAGCGGCATCAAGGTGGCTCCATCGGCTCCGTCGGTGAACCACCTTTTATTCACGGATGATAGCCTGTTGTTTTTCAAGGCGAGTGTTGATGGAGCGGAGGGTGTGTCACACCTTTCGGATACTTACTGCATGGCTTCAGGTCAAAGGATTAATAGGGACAAATCGTCTATTTTCTTCAGCAAGGGATGCCCGCAGATTGTGAGAGATGCAGTCAAGGGATGCCTTCATGTCCCTAACGAGTCATTAAGTGACAGATACCTTGGTATGCCTACAGATGTTGGTCACTCAA